ATCTTTGCTCTGTCTTCACTGAGATATTTGAATGCTAATCAATAAAAACATATCACCACCATATCACGTTCACTTGATTCCATAAATCACTGTAGAGTGGAAAAAGGGGAATCACTTCAAATGCTTGATTTTTCCTGCAAATGATTTTCAAACTCAGGCGTCGCTCTGGGATCTGGGAATATCGTTCACTTCGACAGGCGTTATTGATGAATCTTTGGAGGTTGGACAATGTGAAATTCAAAATGTAAATGTAAAAACTTAATGTTGAATTTATCAGAAACATATCCTCTCTGGAATTTTCCATGTCTTTATTGGCCCAAAGTTCCCGCCCAGCAACAAGCTCCCTTTACTGCTGCTTTTCCTCCAAGTACCTCAAACCTGCATTATTTGTAGTGGCCAGCAGGGGGCGCCCCCTCTGGAAAACAGCATCTCAACCACATGTTGTTAGCCAATGAGTGAGCAGCGTCCTCGCTCATCACGTCCAGTTTGCTGGCAACGATGTAAATGCTCCGCCCGAGGCTCCACTCACCAGTGGGTGATGTCACGGTGATGTCACGGCCTACAGTCGAGAGGCTCAAGCGAATGATCTCATCATACAACACGCAATGACAGGGAAACAACACATACATGTTGACATGTAGGAATGGTGGAGAAACACTTTTATATTTGAAATATGTATAAATATGCAGACTTTCTACTGACAAAAAAATCCAGAAAAACTGAGTTATTCAGGTTTTAAAGCCTCAGGTGGGTTTTAGAGTGGGTGTGCTAATTTAATTTATCTTTTATTTCGCTTAAAAATGTTGAGAGTGACCAGAAATATCAGGATGATGAGCACATTTGTCTTAACACAGATATGTAAGCATGATTATAGCGGTCACACATGTAAGTGGTCACCCACAGGTCCATTCAAGCCAAAGAAGTTTAGCTTTACTTTACTGTAATGTCTTTGGTGCAAATGAAATATTCATCACACTCTAAAAATGTTAAATGAATAAATTGCAGATGCAAGCTGAGCTCGTAACAAAAGAAAGGTTGGAAATGAGCTTTGCAGACATTGAAGTGACCGCGTGACGTCACCACTGAAGGACCTATTGGAGACTTTTGCTCTCGTCCTGTGCAGATTCATACCCGGGCCCTGGTCCCCCTGCAGCATCACCTGCGGCCCTGGCAGGCAAACTCGGGAGGTGAAATGTCAGGTGCTGCTCACTTTCACCAAGACGGAGGTGGACCTTCCAGAGGAGGAGTGTGGCGGGGACAGGCCCCAGCTGGAGAGGCCCTGCAACCACGGGCCGTGTACCAGAGCCACCGCAGTCCGAGACCACGGCGCTCCTTTGCTCCAGGCTGACGACCTGCACAGCTGGGACTTCAGAGGCTTCGCTGCCTGCTCGGCCACGTGCGCTGCCGGTGAGGTTTGCCGATCGGATGCTCGCGGCTGAAATGCTGATGCTTCCTCTAAACATTTTTCTGTATTTCCTCTGCCCAGGGAAGCAGACAGCAGTGGTGAGGTGTGTGAACAGGAAGCAAGATGAGGAGGTGGACGACGCTCTGTGCGATCCATCCAGCAGGCCGTCGGTAATGATCCGCATCTGTAACCCTGAGCCGTGCCCCCCAAGGTAAGAGACCGCAAGGTCACCGAAGACACGGAGAAAGCTCACAGTCTGCATGAGCAGAATCTGAAGCATTTGTGCATCACAAGCATGAATATTAAGCTTCTTCTGTCAAGGAAGAAGGGCGGGGTTGCTTTTTAATAGCTGTTCTAGCAGCTACAGCTGCCTGTGTCAGGCCACGCCCCTAATAATGCAAACATTAAGCCTTAATACAAAACAGCTGTGTTACAAAAACATTCCCCCCCC